TCAGACCCCACCATCTCACGATTGTATGTGTGTGGAGTGATGCTATGTGAGTCAGTCTATGTGAGTCAGTCTATGTGAGTCAGTTCGTTATCAGACTTCCGCTGCATAGAGTGCTTTCAAGAGATTGAAGCATGCACTCATGAATCATGAGGTCCTTATGGCTCCCGATCCTCAGAAGCCATTCATAGTGACCACTGACGCAAGCCAATACGGCATTGGCGCAGTGCTGGCTCAGCAGGATGGGAAGAAGTTGAGACCGATTGAGTACATGAGCAAGAAGATGCCATCAGAGAAGTTGGCAAAGTCCCCCTACGAAAGGGAACTCTATGCTCTATATAAAGCACTTGTCCATCGGAGACACTTCCTATTGGAAAGGTTCTTCTATCTGAGGACTGGTCATCAAACCCCCAAATGGATCAAGACTCAACCGGCTCTTTCTGACGCACTCAAGCGATGGATTGAGGTCATAGACCAATATGACTTCAAGCCTGAGTATCTGAAGGGAGAGTACAACAAGGTTGCTAATGCGCTATCACGTAGACCAGACTACCTAGGTGCGCTRGTTTCTGACTTTGGCGTATCTGAAGAAGTAACTCAATCATTGGTGGGAGCCTATCAGGAAGACCCTGTCACGATGGACATCATGCGCAAACTTCAGGCAAAAGACAAGGCCACAGAAAGTGAGTTTGTGATGGTGGACGGGCTACTCTATCTTGATAAGGCCGAAATAAAAAGGTTAGTAGTTCCATCAAGTGAACGTTTGCGTAGTTTGTTTTTAGGAGAATGCCATGACGCAACTGGGCACTTTGGCTACAAGAAGACGAGTGCTAATCTAGTACAACGATTTTGGTGGCCTGGAATGTTAGATGACGCAAAGAAGTATGTAGAGACCTGTCAGGTCTGTCAGCGGGACAAGCCGCGAACTGACTAGTGGCCACGCCAGAGAGCGCAAGGACTGACTATGTCATCAAGTTGTTCAAGGACAACTGGGTGCGTGACTTTGGTTTACCAAAGTCAATCGTTAGTGACCG